CCAGAGAAAAAAAATATGCAGAAAGAGCTGGGGGTTGCATGGTACTTTGATAATCAAGTCTCCTGTAAGCGCTGAATTCAAGACACTCTGTGCTTCTCCTGCAGTTTTTTCTTCTACAGATTTCCATGCAATGACCCATGGTTTATTTGGTCACTTGCACATGACCATGTACTAACGGCTCCTCCATGTCCATCCTTTCTTCCTGCTATCTCTGATTTCTGCTGTTGTCTTGTGCCTGGCCAAAGCAGCTAGCGAGCCTCATCCAACAGTCGCTGCCCATGGTGGGTTTTTGTTCCCCTCTTCATCTTGCTCTTCTCTCGAGCACCACTGCAGCACCCAGCTTGCCCATGGCCAGAGGAGCGGCCTGGCTTCAGGAAGGCAGCGATGGCTGAGCCCATGGGTCCTGCTGCATCTCGTGTCTCAGCCAGGAGCTCGCCCTATGTTCCCCCATGTGCCAGACCCATCACAACCCCGGCGGGACCAGCCCGGTGGTGTCCCCATGCCAGTGCATAAGCATGTGTCCCTTCCTCCCTGCCCGGCTCTGTATATATTGCTGTACTTGCTTAAATGCTGGAAAGTAACTGTTAACATGTAAACTGTACAAAAAAATAGGCTAAGATTAGATGAAAGCCACTCACCAAATCTTTGCACTTAGTAGGTAGCTCAATGTAAAAATAAAACCCAGTAATAATAATAATGGTAACAATAAAAGGAGTGAAAAACAAAGCCGCAAAGCTAACCTTTCAGTGTACAGTGGGGGAGAAGTACTGTATGTAGTGATTCTGTCATTGTTCCTCCGTATAATGCTGTGAGGGGAAATGGTGTTTATGTACTTGTCTGTTAACATTGTTGACATTTGTAATTACCGCAATTGGTTCGTACTGATGTTTATTTTTTCCTCATGATTTTCCCCCTTCTCCTGACTTAGGCTAACCCAGAGGTCAACGCCTCTGTCATTTCGGGCAGCAGATGTTCAAACAGGCTGTCAGTCTGGTCTGGTAATGAACCAGCAAATGTGCTTCTAGGGGGTGGGAAGAAACCCATTTGGCACGAGAGCTGTCTGTTCGTTGCCAGCAATTCTATTTCTTTCTTTTCCATTTAGTTCCTGGAGAACATTCACTTTGCCAGTGTTCTGGTTTTTTTTATATACTTTGAAAGATGACTTGATAGCAAAACCATGTTTATGAGGTTGGGGTTTTTGTTTCCTCCCTTCTTACTTTTGAAGATGCGGTACGAGTTCCAGTGTCTTTCTATTAAATTATTGCCTTTCGTTTTCCTTTGGTTTGTTTTGTTGTGGGTTTTTAATACAGTTGTTTTCTTATCTTTAAGTGCCTTTTTGAGCACCAGAACAAATGCTTGGAGTTTAACGTCCTAGGAGCTGTACACATCGAGATTTCCTTTGTACAGTTGCGTTGTGCTGGGGTGATTGCTTTTAGAGTCCTTTTTTATTTGATTTGATTTCTTTTTAAAGACAAGAAAACCAGGACGTTTTGTTGGAGAATAAACTACCCCTTTTTAACATGCTATTCCAATTGTAGTTTTAACTACTGTAAATTTAAGGGAAGAAATGTATTTTTCTGTAAGCTAACTTGGCACAAAATTGAAACATGTTACCTTGTAGGAGTATCATAACTGGAACCTGCTCATGTTTATGAGTGACTGTACCCCGATCCTTGATACCTCTCTAAAGGTGTAAAGACTGTAGGCTTCAGAGAGCTCACAGAGCTTTCACTGTGACAACCTCCGGCCGCGCCGCTGCCGGGAGCGGGTGGTGGGATCCGGGACAACCAAGAGCAGGGTGTTCATGGAGCAGCTGTTTCTCTGCTGTGCAGAGCAAGTGCTGGCCTCCAGTTCGGCTCCCGCAGACCTTCCCCATCCCATGCCGAGGGGCTCCTTGGTGCTTGCCCACCCTCCCCGGGGCTCAGCATCGCCTTCGATGGTGCTGACTCGAGAGCAGCGGCACCCACGGCGGCCTCTTCTGCGTACAGACTCTTCATCAGCGCGTGCAAGTGTGTCGGTCCCCGGGTGGTGGTGACAGTGCACTTTCTTCCTTAGGCTGAAGTACCCCGGTAGGTCCTTTTTGTACACCCTGGGCTGTGTTATTTAACTAGCAGTGTTGTGGTTTTCATGGGGCGGCAGTAGATGGCCCGAGCCTGGTCTGGTTCCAAGTGGCTGGGCTGTGAAGTCTGGTGAGGATGGGTTTGGTTCTGCTGGGAAGCCGTAGGAAACCGCTGGCTGGCTGCCCTTTGTAACGGTCGTCCTCCTCCTCTGGTGTTGTCCCTGTAATGTATGGTGAGATGCTGTTCAGCTAGAGTGTCTGAGTGGGTCCTCTGTCATGTATGCTGATGATGCCATGTAGATGAAGCCACTGGTTGGGTGTGGACTCATCCCGTTGAATAAAACTGCTTAACTTTTCTCAAAAACACTGGCTGTGGTTTCAGAGTATTTGCTGCCTCTGGGAGCATTTGTGCCTGTACTTGTGCTCGTGGCTTCCCCATCCCTTGATCCGGCACCCTCAGTCAGAGGTGGCCAGGGTCCTGCTCCAGAGCCATTCCACAGCACCTTCCCCCGTAGCCATGAGCAGTGGCTCACCATGGCTGACGGCGTGTGTTCCACAGTTTCTGTTCAGATGAACCACTGTAGAGCACAGATTGCTCCTTCCTCCCAGCCCTGGGCATATGGTGAAAATACACAGGGAAGAGAGATGTGAGCCAATAAAAAAACACCCTGCCGCTTCCTAGGGGTTGTAAACTTGCCCATTTCCCTTGGTGTGCAGGAGCTGTGCTGAGCTGCACCAGCCAAGATTCACCCCATGTTTCAGAGGGACCATTGCTTCTTTAAAATCTTATCTAAAGTCCGTTTAGGTAATGAAATCCCTTCACGAGCCTCCTGCTGGGTTGAGGGCACCTTCGGGTGCGTTATCGCTTGCCCACAGAGCAGGCTGCCTCGGGTGGAGAAGGCGTAGGTGAGGATGGCAGCCAGGGAGCTGTACTCTACACCTGCTCCGGGGGGACCTCACCATCACCTCTGCCTACATCAGCTCCCCAGGGCCTCGGTGTGTCTGTGCCTTAGGGGAATTAGCAGCTGGATGAGGCTGGGGTGACACTGAACAGGCAGGGGGACCAGACTGCCCATGTCAGCAGTTCAGCATGTGAGTGCTTGCCTGCACGGGAGTGTGAGGTTAGTGTTGCTCTCAAAATGCAGAGGGCGGCTTTGGCAGTGAAGCGTTGCAAGAGCAGGCTTGCTTCCCGAGAGCTGATTACACAAATGTTAATTACCACAGGAGAGGGGGACCACAACACAGCACTCGTGTCCCTCCAGCAGCTCACCCCTCGAGCCTGTTAGTGCCCATAGGCTCTCCAGGGATGGAGATCTGTGGCAACTCCCTTATTCTCATGTCAAGTGTGGGTTTCTGTTAGGGGTTGTTCCTCTCCTCCATCACTGGTCCCCTGAGCAGCTCTGCCTCTACCTGCTGCTCCCTACCCTGCTGCTCCCCACCCTGATGCAGCTCCTCAGGACCAGGGGCTCTGTGCCTCCATCCTCTACCCACTGCTAATGACAACTGCCCCCTCTCCACAAACACCTGCTGAGCTGCCAGAGCTGCTTCCCCTGGACAAAGGGCAAGAGCAATTACCTCCTTCCAAAGGGAAGGGGAGAGAGGGATTAAGGGGCTGCTCAAGCCAAGGAGAGGAACAAAGTCCCTTCCTGCAGGGCAGCAGATCCCTGTTGGCACCGTGTCCCACGGTCTGGCCCCATTTACTTCTAAAGAACCAGCAGAGCCAGCTAAGTGGATGTGAAACCCATGGTGAGTGCAAGAGGGCATCGTCCATCACAGCCAACATTCCGCCCTGGAGGTGTCCATGTGGCACAGTCCCATGCTCCCTGCCAGCTCCCAGCAATGGCACCACCTCCCCAGTGGTCCCCACCACACTGGGTCACTCCTCCCCCAGCACTGTGCACTGGCAGCTTTAACCCATGAGATTTATTACCAGATAAAGCAACTTAATTAAACCGTTTCCTAATGCACACGCACTGCTGGTTTCATCAAAGGTCTGCCCTGCGTCCAGATTGTTCTTCCTCTGGGACCAACTCGAGTTGAGAAGGCCCCCACAGTGATGCTGGTACTTAATGAGCCAAATGAAGCCTTGGTCTGAGAGTAAATGTCAGCATTATCAGTAAATTGATGATTGATTTCCAGTTAAAACTCCCTGTTGCCCAGGACTCCTAACTAATACAGGGTCATGTTAAGCTATTTATCATTTCTTCTCCTGACAGCAAGGCTTTTAGTGCCAGAACTGGGATATCTATTGAATGGGCATTGGGCATGTTTAAGGTTGGGGCTCAGTACCTGTGCTGAGGTGCAGGCAGCTTTATGAACTTACATTCATTAAGGCTGGTTTGGAGTTCCAAAGCTGCAGCTGCAGCCCATGGGAGAATGAGTTACCCAGGGCTGCTGGCATGGTGTTAGAAGCCAGTGTTGGCCCCTAGGTGTTTCCCACTGAGCAGTCCTGGGTGCAATGCCTCAGCCCCATGCTGTTGTGAGGAGCATTTGGCTGTGACAGTGCTACACCAGGACCTGGAGAGCTGGGAGCCATTCAGACAGCCAGTGGATTGCAGTGCGCATATGGCTCGTGTGGCCTCAGCCAAGCATGCTGCCGAGGGGAGATGACTTGAGTGATGAGTGGCTATTAATATTTAATTTCATCCCATCTGGGTACCTTCTTAATTCAGTCCTTGTTATAATTCTTCCTGATTGATTGCCACTCTGCCTTGCACGGTGCTGCACACATTCAGTTTCAGCCATCATCAGTGATCTCAGTGAGAAGGAGACCCTCTCACTGCAGGGTGGGGAGGAGTCACCCCAAAGCAGACAATGGGGTGCCTGGGGACATAGGGGACCGTCATCCCTGTCCCTCCCCATAGCCCCTCCAGGGTTCCCGTTGCAGACTGTAGAAGTGCAAAGCATTGCTCTGGGGCTGGAGCACCCTTCCCTGCCCTGTGCACTAACAAATGCTGTCTCCTGCCCTGGGAATGCTGGGACTCTGGGCAATGCTTCTAGCTACTGAGTGGATAAAATGCTCCACATCTAAATAAGCAACCCCAGCGAAGTCAGAGTGCACTTCACACCTGAGCTGACAAAAGGCTGCGGCTGGTGGCTTGTTCAGAGCCTGTATTATGTTTCTTTCTATTGTTTTTCACTTCACTTTCCTCCCAGTCCTGGCAGTGCAGAGGAGAATGGACCTCCCTGATTTCTTCCTGATGCATGGCAGCTGTAGGAGCAGCTGGCACTGGTTTAGCAGTGGTTTGTGTGGGCCCTTAACAGGGAGTGGGCTCAGGGGCAGGTGCTGCTGGAGCTCCATCTCCTGAAGGCAGTTGCCTGCGTGGCCTTTCTGGCAGCTTTGGGCGCAGCCCAGGAAGGTGAGTGCAGGGCTGACTAGGGTCCTCTGCTCTGGAGCTGCTCACCACCATGCCCCAGCTCCCCAGGCATCCAGAGCAATGGTAAGCACCTGGGTCCAGTGCTGGCCCAGCCTGGTGCTCACTGCCAGACATCCTGAGCTGAGGGAGGCTCCTGGGCACCTTCCTAGGAAATAAACCCCATAGGGCTTTGATGGGTCCGTGGGCTGTGGCTGGGCTCTTGTGAGGGTCAAGCTCGTGTTGAGGCACATCCCTAAGTAGCAATAGGACAAGAGGTAACAGCCTCAAGCTGCACCAGGGGAGCTTCAGATTGGATATTAGGAGAAATTTCCTCACCAAAACGGTAGTCAGGCATTGGAACAGGGCAGTGGTGGAGCCGCCACCCCTGGAAGTGTTCAAAACCCCTATATATGAGCTCCTTCAGTGGCGGCCTTGGCAGTGCGGGATTCAGGGTTGGACCTGATGACCATCGAGGTCTCTCCCAGCCCGGCTGACGCCAGTTCCACACACGCTGAGCAGCGGCAGCTCCGGGAGCGGAGCCGCTCTTACCAGCAGAGGGCGCCCGCCGACCGCGTACCTGGCTAGAGGCCGGCAGTGCCCGCAGCCCGTGTCCGGCGGCACCGCTGCCCCGCTCCGAGCCGCGGTGGGCCGGGATGAACAGGGGTGCTCCAGGGGTTCCTTGAGGCTCCGGCTGCAGGAGGGGACGGCTACGGAGAGGTCTGCGGCCGGGAAAAGTCAGTGATTAAATACCAGCGGTTGGCGGGTGTGTGATGCTCCTGAGCGTGACGGCTCTGTGCAGCGCACCTGCAGTCAGCCTCCTTGGTTGTACCCGTGTGATGCTGTGTGCTCCGTGGGTGACGCGCTGCTCCGCTGAGGAACAGGCTCTCTCCTGGATGGGGATCTTGAGATGCCCCATGGCTCTACCTGAGCATCTTTCTGCTCAGCTGATAGTTAAGACCCCAGTCGTTTCTCCCAACAGGGCTGGTTCCCTGGCTGAAGTGGGAACCTGAAGTTAATAATCATTAATAATCATTAACTTCAAGTATAAACAATCGAGTGCATTAATTTCCATGGGCCTAATGTAGCATTTGCATTTAAATAACTTTCCACACTGCTGCACTCAAACATACGTGATGACTTCCCTCTAAAGCTAGAAATACACACGAATACATGTAAGTACTTCCCAGTCTGGTGTATCAGAGCAATTACTGAACAGAGCTGCTCCCCACAACATGGAAGTGAAACCCGTTAGAACAAAGTGGGATTTGGGCCAGGAGGAGCCCACGGCTCGAAGATGCCTGTGGTGCCCTGGGCGCAGGCTGGGGAGGTGAAGTTAAAATTGGTTTCTGAAAGATGGGTACTTTTGTCTGCACTGTATTGTAGAGCCATTCAAAGGTTCCCATTACTGACATCTGTACAAAAGTGCTAAGATATTATTCATCAATATTTCTGTAAAGGGGGAGGAAACTGGAGGCAAGCTCACCATTTGGGTGTTAAATACCAATTGACTCTTGGTATTTAGAGTCCCATTGTGCCTTTATCTTGGTTTACTACCTCCCTGCTTACCAAAAAGGACATTAAAATGTACATTTATGACCCATGCATTGTGCTGTAATTATCTGCCAGGTCCACCTGAGTGCTGCCTTGTGAATCTGCAAGTGCAAGGAGAGTTAATTACATGATGACCTGCATGTGCAGGGACCAGTGTCTCCCCTGAGACCACTGTTCAGACCCAGCGCTCCCCATGGCACTGGTGAGCTTTAGGAGCAGCCGGCCACATCTTGGCTTTGGGTCCATGAGGGCTGGGATGTGTGCAAGCACCGTGCTGGAGGGGCTCTGCTGCTGTGCCCAGGAGCAGGGCGATGCCTTGTACACACTGCCTGAGCTTTTACGTACAAAATAATTGTGGTTTAAAACAAATACCTATTTGGGCTATTTCCGAGTATTTTGCTGTGTGCTTTTGTCTGGATGCCAGGGACAGTTACTGCATTACACAAGAACTAAGCTTTCTCCAGGACTTTTTTTCTCAGTGAGAATTGGGTTTTTTATTAGAAGGGAAAATCAGCAAAGAACTGAAAAGCATGATAGCAAAAAAAACGATTTCTAAATAGGCTGTTCTCAAGCTCAACTCTAAATCTTGTGCAGGACACTTACGACAGCTGAAACTCGCTGTACTTGTCCTTAAGATTAGAAGTATGATGTATTTTCAGTGGAACTAACTCAAATGATAGTGTCAATGGAGGGATGAAGTTGATCTCCAATCTAAGGGGGAACTTAATGTATTTTTTCTTTCTTACATAGGTTGCTCTCACTGTAGCAGCCTGTTTCTGTGAAGCACACATCAGAGCATGTCATCTCTGCTGTGGTGCTTCTATCATAGGATATTTGATGACAACGTTACTTTTGAGCAATAATGTGAAGAGGGGCCAGGGATTGTTGCTTGGCTGAGCAGGAACAAATGCAATATTTCATGGAGCACATGTGGCAGCGCCTTTGATTTGCAGCAGGACCCATTTGTTTTTCAGACAGTATTGACTGGGAAAGCAGCTCCTCCTCGAGGACTCTTTTGTTTTCTTCTTTTCAATAAATGGTCCATCCTTGTAAAGAACCGATTTTTCCCAAGATAAAATAGACTTGCCTGAGGTGACAAAAAGCGGGATGAATGAAGGCGTTTCTATCTGAGGCTAACAAAGTGTTGCACATGGACGTGGTGCACATGCTGCTGGGTCAAGGGCCAGTGGAGGGTCCAGTGTTATCATCCCACTTGCTGGCAGAGCACAGCAGCATTGTGCAGGTGCCAAGGGGCATTTCTCCTTGTCATGAGGCATCCTGTGATTGACAGATACAAGGTGTTAGAGGTTTCGGCGTGTGGTTTTATGTGCAGATTTCATGGTTCCAAAGCCCAGACTGCAGAGCAGCTGCCTGACTTGCAGTCTGTTGTGTCCGGGATGGGACAACAACAACTCCTGGTTGTGCTGAAAGGGTCTTGGGACATAGGTGCACCCAATGGTGTCAGAAGACACGTATCTTCTGTCAGACCAACTGACATGCAAGCAAGCAGTTGGATATGTGAGTAGGTGTGGAAACAGAGACATAAATTCACTACTTGCTGGTGGTACTGCTCTTAAAGCTTGACTCCCCCCTGCTGCAGTAGAACAGGGACCTCTGAGCCTCCAGAGCTTCATACCCAGTGGGGGCTGCACAAACCCCCAGTGCCAAGTGAGTGGCTGGGAGTGGAGCCACCTGCACATTCAGTACAATATTGTCAAGGAATGAGGTCTTAATGGTCCTAATTACATTTACATGTAATGAGTATGAGTGCATCATTACTGGTTTTAAGGCACTGGGTTCTCCCAGGCAGGCTGGGAAGAACAGGAGGGTTACAAAGCCTGCCAGGCTGTGGGACAGGCAGGGCAGCCAGGTTGTCTTGTGCTCGGTTCTCTTCTCCCATTTTACTTTCATTTATGCCTGCCCCATTATTATGTTCTTACCTTTTATGATCGAATCATCCATGGTAAAGAACAGAGTTTTTTATAGGTATGATGAAAGGAACAGGAGACTTCAGTTACACAGTAAATGCAGAAGAATTTGTGCCCAGGAACATGGGCTTTTACCTTTTTCCAGTTCTTCCTGCAATTGACGCTGTTTGCTTTCTTTTGCTTCTAGCATTCATTCCCCACCATCCTAATCTGTGACTCCCAGGCCCCTTTTGCAGCAAGGCCTGGGCTTGGTGTTGGGAGGGGCTGCCTGGAGCCAGTGGGACCTGCCACAGCCGAGATGTGCCCAGCGTAGCCTCTAGCACTCTCCAATACAGTGTGTTTTAGCCTAGGAGGCAAATTACCAGATATCAGGCTACAAACCAGTGCTCACCACACTGAATTAACAATAATAGCATGAGAGCAATTTGCAAGGGGATGTGGATAATACCTTGCCTTTGAAGCACTCAGGTGTGCAGCGGAGCAGGAGCTCGCAGCATCCGCAGCTGCCCCTCAAAAGCCAAATCTTGGTGTCTTCCCTGCTATTTGAAGTCTTTGGATGGGGCGGGCTGTGACTGCCCTCTGCCCACTGGGTCTGTAATAACCCCCAGGGCTGCTCCTGCCGGTGTCTCTGAGCCAGTCTTGCTTTGGGAAAACCAAGATAAAAATCTCTTTTTCCCCTTCTGGAACCACTCTGGGCTTGAACATGTCCATCTCCATGGCTTACAGCTCGGAATGCTGCCGGGGCACTGCAGGAGCCAGGCTTGGCTGTCGCTGAGAGATGCTCCATGGGGAATGCTGCTGCGATGCACAAGACAGGGATCCGGATGGCACCGCAGCCCCATCTCACAGTGAGAGGTGAAGGCGCTCCATCCTTCCCCTGTCCTGCCTCTTTAAGGGCTGAGGGCAGATAGTTTTTCTAATGAAATACTGTTTAATCGCAAACGCAGAAGATGACAAAGATGTCTGGGTGGAAAGCACTGCGCTGACCGGCCCTGCTCCTCACTGGGGAAGGGAAGTAGCACAGCACTTATTTTTAACACTGCAAATGCTTCTGAAAAGGTTATACTAGTGCTGGGTGCCGTGGCTTTGTGTCTGAGCCCTACCAGGGACCTGAGAGTTTAATGTGAGACTGCTACAAAGTGCTGAAGTGAAACCTTGGCATTCTCCAGTCATCTTTTGGGTAATTAATTGTCAAGAAATGCTCTGAGGGTAATCTGCCTTTTATTTAGATGGCTCCAATAATTCAGTACTTAGATGGATCCAACAACCATTCACTGTATGTGCTCTAAAGGTGCACCTAAGGGCAGTCTGTCACTTGTCACGCTCATAGCTAATGAATGAAAAAGTGACATAGAAATTAAATGTAAAGGAAACGGTGGCAGAATTTTGAGTGATTAATGCTTTGAACCCGGGCTTGAAGTGCAGAGAGTGCTTTCAGTCTTGCTGACTGAATTAAATAACTCAAATTAGTAATACATTTTATTTTCTTTTCCCCTGTGTAAAGACATTAAAGTGCTTTTAGCAAATGAGGTAAAGATTTTCCATCCATGTTTAGAACAAAAACTGAGCACTTGCTGTGGTGTGCCCAAAGCCTGCAGCAAGCTC